CCAATCTGCTTCACCCATTAGAACAGCTTCCAGTGGTACATTTAATGTCTCAAATTAACATTGTGTCTCCATACAGGCATTTTTCATGCAACCATCACCCTAGACCCTGGGCAAATACAGGAAGTTACGGGAACGTACGATACATGCAGGAGACACCATTCTGTCTCAGAGTTGAACACCTTCTCCCCTACTCTATGTCAGATTCCAACACAACTGCTTTCAAGAACCCCTCTACCTTCATCCTGCTGGGCATTCCTGGGCTGGAGGCAGCCCACGTCTGGATCTCCATCCCCTTCTGCACCATGTACATCATAGCCATCTTGGGGAACTTCACCATCCTGTTCATCATTAAGATGGAGCCGAGCCTCCATGGGCCCATGTACTATTTTCTCTCCATGCTGGCTGTCACTGACCTGGTCCTGACTACATCTACCCTGCCCAAATCACTGAGTATCTTTTGGTTCAATTCCAGGGAGATTGATTTCAGTGCCTGCTTCACCCAGATGTACTTCATTTACTGCTTCTTAGAGATGGAGTCTGGGATTCTTGTAGCCATGGCTTTGGATCGTTACGTGGCCATCTGCGACCCCCCCCTGAGATATTCCACCATCCTAACAAACCCCCTGGTGGCCAAGATCGGCCTGGCTGTGTTGCTGCGCGGCTGCATGGTCATACTGCCCATTCCCATCCTGGCGAGGCAATGGCCATATTGCAGAACCAACATCATCCCCCAGCCATACTGCATGCATATAGCCGTGCTGAATCTGGCCTGCGCCGACACCCGTGTCAGTAGTTACTATGGCCTCTTTGTGGTATTCTGTGTGATGGGTCTGGATGTGATTTTGATCGCCGTGTCCTATACCCAGATCCTCAGGGCCATCTTCAGCCTCCCCACAAAGGACGCCCGGCTCAAGACTTTTGGGACCTGCAGCTCCCACCTCTTTGTCATTTTAGCCTTTTATATACCAGGTCTCTTGTCCTCCCTCACGTACCGGTTTGGCCATAATGTGCCTGGGCATTTCCATGTTCTCATTACCAACGTATACCACTCGATGCCCCCCGCGCTAAATCCCATCATCTATGGGGTGAGGACCAAAGAGATCCGTGGGAGGCTGCTCCAGCTCTTTATTCATGAAGGGACCTAAACTTTTCTCCTTGTGCTCTGGGTCTCAGACCTCTATGCAGAGCTGGCTGGTGTCATGGTCCTGGGCCCTCTTCCCTGAATCACTGACCGGACAGTCAAAATGACAATAATCCCTTTCCTGACCTGTTGTTTCAGCATGACAAACTGAGGAATTTGTCTGTGTAGAACTCACTAACTTACAGGACTGGCACCATTCTAATTGCTGGTAACTGGACCTCTGAGGCCATGTGCCCTTCCCCGCCTATACCCCAAGCTCCTAGCCCCTGCTCCATCTCTTTCCCCAAGGCCCCTCCCCCTGCCTCAAGTACTCCCACAAGTCCCCGCTCCCTTCTCCGCCTCTTCCCACATGGCCCCACCTCTGTTCTGCCACTTTCCCCAGAGACACATCCCTGGTGCTTCCTCCTTTCCTCCCCAACCCCATAAACTTTCTGGATCATCTCGACCTCCCTCCTTGCCCAGATGCGCTCCCTCTGCTTTGGGGCTGGGACAGGAGCACTTGCAGGCAGACAAGGAGCCTGCAGTGAGTGCAGAAAGGCAACAGCGCTGGGGCTGACAGGCGGATGAGAAGCGGAGAGGGAAACCAGGAAGCTGTGTAAAAGAATCTGGGGGTTGGGACCAGGGTTGTGTTGCCCGCGAGTGAGACTGTGCATCATACAGCTTGTGGGCCCTAAAGCTCAGCTACAAAGTCCTGAGGGAAGAAACCATTGTGTGTCTTATTTCTTTAGCTTTTGGTTCCCTTTTGTTCTTCCCGACTGGGAGTCTGTAGCAGGCAAGGTCCCTGCACTGGGATTCTGGGCAGAAGCCGGGATGGCTTCGGTGCCCCACAGGGAGGAAGATAAACAGGAGACCTACCATTAGCCAGGTATTTACACATATAAACGGCAACTTATCTAGAACTACAGGGCAGCAATTGTGCAGGGGCTGAAGCTGAACAGTGAAGTTGAGTCTAACGTACGCTCTGCATGACACTTTTGATCACTACATCTAGAATCTCCTTAGCGAGGCTGCTAGGCAGCGTTATGCCCATGTTATCGATGGACTGAGCCACGCAGAGGTAAAGTGATTTACCCAAGGTCACCCAATGAGTCAGTGGCAGAACCGAGAATAGGAACCGGGAGTCCTGACCTCCCCCACACCCACCCAGCAGCATTGCTCTGGCCATGCACTGGCATTGCTCCTCTGCATTGTGTTAGATGCAGTGAGGCTATTTGTTTGTCATGATCCATGGAATTTCCGTCCTTCTTAAACAGGAGGAATTTATTAAAGAAACTGCTAAAATCTACAGCCACAAAAACAGGTTTACACACAGCTCAGTTTTCAGCCTTCTCTTAGACTCATAGACTATTAGGGTTGGAAGAGACCTCAGCAGGTCATCTCTTCAAAAGCAGGCCCAACACCAACTAAATCATCCCAGCCAGGGCTCTGTCGAGCCGGGCCTTAAAAACCTCTAAGGAAGGAGATTCCACCACCTCCCTAGGTAACCCATTCCAGTGCTTCACCACCCTTCTAATGAAATTGTTTTTCCTAATATCCAACCTAAACCTCCCCCACTGCAACTTGAGACCATTGCTCCTTGTTCTGTCATCTGCCACCACTGAAAACATCTCAGCTCTATCCTCTTTGGAATCCCCCCTTCAGGTAGTTGAAAGCAGCTATCAAATTCCACCTCACTTTTCTCTTCTGCAGACTAAACAAGCCAGTTCCCTCAGCCTCTCCTCGTAAGTCATGTGCCCCAGCCCCCTAGTCATTTTTGGTGCCCTCCACTGGACTCTCTCCAATTTCTCCACATCCCTTCTATATTGGGGGGACCAAAACTGGACGCAATACTCCAGGTGTGGCCTCACCAGTGCCGAATAGAGGAGAATAATCACTTCCCTCAATCTGCTGGCAATGCTCCTACTAATACAGCCCAATATGCCGTTAGCCTTCTTGGCAACAAGGGCACACTGCTGACTCATATCCAGCTTCTCGTCCACTGTAATCCCCAGGTCTTTCTCTGCAGCACTGTTGCTTAGCCAGTCAGTCCCCAGACTGTAGCAGTGCATGCAATTCTTCTGTCCTGAGTGCAGGACTCTGCACTTGTCCTTGTTGAACCTCATCAGGTTTCTTTTGGCCCAATCCTCAATTT